AGAAACGTTTGTCAGTTGACTGAGTAAAGCAAAGTGGAGAGGGGGGATGGATTTCATTCAGGTTGTATTCTCTCTCATTTTTATTTCTTTTTAGAAAAATTAGAATGTTCCTTTTAAAAGTGAAAAACTAGAACTAACATCAAAGTCAAACAAATTATGATATGCTCATACAACTGAGCACTATACTGAACTGTGAAAGAAAAGTAGAGATTGACATAACTGAGATGGGCAAATGCCTGAATTATGAAATGAAAACAGAAATATATAATAATGTGATTTTATCTGTAGAACATTTTAGATAAATCTGAGAAAAGTGACACTTTTGATTACTTTCAGTCACATTGATCCATGTGCATACAGTCAGGGTCCTGTAAATGTTTGTGAAATGAGTAGAGAAACACCGAGGACTTGAGTAGTACTTAAGATATTCCCAACAGAGTGTGAATCACCATCTTTTTTTGTTGCTATAGAACATGCAGTGTTTTCCTATTGTTGGATGGATGGGAAGAAGGAAAGGACTTTACAGTCAAAGTTGGGAGAGTGTTAGACTGACTGTCCCTGGTTCAATCCTAGATTTGGGTAGTACTTTTTTTGTGCTCTCGTTCTATCTATCTATCTATCCATCCATCCATCATCTTTCTGCAAATGATAATAAACAAATGATCTAGTAATAGGTAAATCATCTGTTATTAAATTATCCTAATTTCTTATTTTGAAAAACTTCAAATGTAGCCTTCACCTAGATTTTGGCCATATTTGCTTTTTCTCCTCCCTCTCATGTATCTCCTAAGAGCATTTATCTATTTTTATATATCTCTTACTCTGAAATAGTTTGACACATACAAGAAATTGCAAGTGGTACAGAGAGCTCCCATGAATCATTCAAACATCTTCCCTGTGTGGGAGTATCATACACTATCAAAACCATGAAAATGACACTAACACACTTAATTCAATTACATACCTTATTCAAACTTGACTAGTTTTTACATTCTTCCCACTCCCAAAAGTTTCTCTGTGCATGTTTCTATACATTTTTAACAAGTGCATGTTTCTATACATTTTAAACAAGTGTAATGGAACATTTCCATTACTACAAAAAAAATTTCCTTGTGTTACTCATTTATAGTCACATCCTCACCCAACATTAACCCTTGTCAATCACTATAATTCTGTCACTTCAGGTAAGTTTTATACATACAATCATGTAATAGGTAATCTTTTGAGATTAGCTTTTTTCACTTAGCAAGATTCCTTCCAGACTTATCCAAGTTGTGTGCATCTGATGCTGATTAGTATTCCATTATATGGAATGTATCACAGTTGATTTAACCTGTTACCTTTTGAAGTACATGACATTTGGGTTTGTATACTTTGTTTACATTATCTCATTTAACACTCAAAGTAATTTCCTAAGAGGTAAGTCAAGGGTTCTCAAATCTAGATTCAGTGGGTCTGGGATTAGATATAGGAATCAGAATTTTTTAAGTTCCCAGGTAATTCTAATTTGGGAATTAAAAAGATAGGTAGTTTTATTACAGTTTTACAGATTAAAAAACTAAACAAGCAAAATAAAAATGACTTGCTCAAGGATACATGGCTAGGAAGAACCATGATGCCAAATTAGATTTCTCTGGAAAAAAGTTGTACCACAAGTTACCCTGACCCCAAGAGACCTATTATTCTAAAAAGAGTTTACACAAACAATAGAAGGCTAAAAACTGAGTCCTTGAAACTAAGGAAAGTGGGAAATACTGCCAGATGCTGCTGAGAGGTTCCAGCAGGAGCACTGGGGATGTCCAATCAATGTGTCTGTGGTACTCAAGTCTGCCATTACAGGAAGATGAAGGCATACAACACGGCATGCCCTCAGGAAACCCAGCCAGCTGGAAGGAGTTATAAATTGAGATTCAGCCAAGATTACTCCTTCAAAGAATAGTCTAATGTTAAAAATTTTAAAGCCAAACATCCACGCCTTTGTGATGGCTTGCCAAGAAAGGGCAGGTATAAGACTCAAAAGGGAAGCTCAGTGTGGAATCTTTGAGTGCAAAATAAAACAACACACTGTAAAAAAAAAACTCCCAGGGCCATTACTCCTTTGTTGGATTATTAAGGCCTTTTGCCCTATGTTTTGTCTTTGGGATATTGCTCCTGTTGGAGGATGGAAGAAGAAAAAAAGGTGAAACTCCAGACAGGACATTTTTATTGGTTTTCAGTAATTCTGACTAATATGGTTACAGTAAGATTGGAACTATAGGCCAGAAGTAAAATCTTCTAATTATAAATTCTACATTAGAGTTATCTGGAACTTAAATGAGATTGGAACTATAATCTAAAAGTAAAATCTTCTAATTATTCATGTAGACATCCTCATATGGTCCCTGGCACAACAGGGTAGCTTAGAGGCCTAGGCAAGGATATGGGGAACAGTTTCCTGTAATCCCAACTCCAAATCTATCTCATGTTTGTTGGTGGTGGTTTTGAATCAGTGTCTTTTTATCTGAAAGATCATAATAACCCCTTATAACAGAACATCTTACAAAGTACCTTTGCATTCATCAGTTCAATCTTTCATGACCTTGGGGAGGGAGGTATTGTTATTATCCCTATACGCTTAGTAAGTGGCAGAAGCCTAACTCAAACCCACCATCTTGGACTCTGAGTCTAATGTTCTTCAGTTATAAACCAGGCTGCTAACTTTTTATTTGCAAAAATTGTTCTAAAGGCTACTTAGCCCTATGCTGGTTGCATAGAAATCAGCGAGACTTCAAGTGTCTCATTGTTCTAAGAAATGGAATTATATAGTGAGTAGAAAGAATGTATATTTGGCTCTGGTCTTTGCTTGCTAGTGATTTTGTGCAGAGTACTGCACCTGAGACTCAGTTTCTCATCTGTAAGATGGGCATAATTGCTACCTTGAAGAGTGGCTAGAAGGAGGTAATCCTATGCAAAACAGCAGGGACATTGGCTAGGAAAAGTAGTTATTCCATAGTGTTAGAACTCTTCCATACTCTGCCTCACCAGGTCTTTTTGAGCCAAAAGAACTTAGAACTGAATCCCTCCAACTGAGGTCTTGGTCTCCTCTGAGGAGTCAGAGGGAGAAGCTGTGTCAGAGTCTTGCCATCGTCCATGACATCAAGAACAAGGACAAAGGACATGCTCCAAAGTTCCACAGGACTCCCTTTCCCCTTTGCTTTCATAACTTGTCTCAGATAGTATTTATCTCCATGAAGTGAAATAAAGCTTCCTTAGATTTATTCCTTGGCATTCCATAATCAAGAAAGGCTGTCAGTCTGGAATTCTGGAATCTATTGAAAAGGTCCTTGTAGAAGGGCATCATTGTTGTTGTTGTTAAGTGCTGTCGAGTCGGTTCCGACCCATAGCGACCCTGTACAGGGTTTCCGAGGGTGTAAATCCTTACGGGAGTAGAAAGCCTCATCTTTCTCCCGCGGAGCGGCTGGTAGTTTCGAACCACTGACCTTAAGGTTCGCAGCCCGATTCGTAACCACTACGCTACCAGAGCTCCTGTTAGTAAGTGCCATCAAATTGGTTCTGACTCACAGTGACCCAGGTATTACAGAAATAAACACCATCCAGTCCTGCACCATCCTCACAATTGTTGCTATTTCAGCCCACTTCTACTGCCACTGTGCCAATCCATCTCATTGGGGATTTTTCTTTTTCGCTGACCCTCCATTTTACTAGGCATGATGTTCTTTTCCAGGGACTGGTCCCTCCTAATAATATGTCTGAAGAAGAACATCATGTTTGGTAAAATAGAGGGTCAGCATCAAAAGAGGAAGACTCACAAAGAGATGGACTGACACAGTGGCAGTAACAATGAGCTCAAACTTAACAATTATGAGGATGGCACCGGGCAGGGCACTACTGCATTCTGTTGTGCATAAGGTTATTATGAGTTGGGACCACCAACCACAGTTAATAAAGGTTTACTCACCAGGGCCCTTCCCCACTTTTAGAGTTTCATCTATTTTAACAGACCTCTTTTATCCAAAGAAAGAATTGTCACAGGAGTTGGACTCTTCCAGACTAGAGGAGGATCTTTCCTGCAGCGCATAAGCAGACAAATGCCAAATGCCCATAGGCCCAGAATTAAGGAGGTGGGTGGCATCAATGGAGCGTGGTGAGTGCTGTGGTGAATTTGAGAACAAGCTTCTCTTATACAAATGTCAGGAGTAACTCAGCTCTGCCCAGAGTGGCCACTGTGGTACTAGTTTGTGTCCTGTTTTGCAGGGTTGGCAAGGAATCCCAGTAATTCCAGCGCTCCTTTCCCAGCCCTGCACTCTTTCCTTCCCACTTTACTCACGTTCTTTACCAGTCTCTCCTTTCTACCCCAGGCTTTGCAGACTTTCCACGTGGTTTCCGGTTTCCGGCCCTGGGTACTCCTGAGAGGTGCAGACGCACAGTTGGACTGCGCAAAGAAGGGGAGTTCTGTGCCGCAGACCCACTTTTCCCCTCTGGGAGCCCCAGCCAGCTGAAGGTGAGGACATAGCCTCACCCTGGCCCTATTATGACTGAAGAAACAGGATTTTCTTGGTAACTCCAAGGTAGGGATGGGCGAGCAGGCCACCTCCCAGAAAAACCTAGCCTCCCAGTGGGCTAAAGAGGGAAGGGAACAGACAGGGTTACGGGATGTGACAGAATTGTGCGGTTTCTGGATGGGAAATCTGTCATTTGACTTCCAAAACGGTTGATTCTTGGAGACAGAGAGTGGTTCCTACGCAGATGGCCCAGTCCCCACTCCCCAGGTCCATTGCGCGCAGCTGCTTTACTCTATGTGCTTCCCTACCGTCGCTCCTGGATGCCCCCTCCCTTCCTCAGGACCAAAGGAGGAGCAAAAGCTCCGCCCCTAAAGCACCGCCCCGGCCCCCCACGCCTTAAAACCTTGCGCACTCCACCCCTTGAGTCCTGCCTGGCGCACCTCGTTTTCCCTCTGTAGCTTCAGCCACAGTCGCACGTCCGTTTCTGACCCCGGCACCATGAGCTTCGGCTCGGAACACTACCTGTGCACCTCCTCCTCCTACCGCAAGGTGTTCGGGGACAGCTCTCGTTTGTCAGCGCGTCTCTCCGGGACAAGCGGAGCGGGCAGCTTCCGCTCGCAGTCGCTGTCCCGCTGCAATGTGGCCTCGGCAGCCTGCCCCTCTGTCTCCTCGCTCGGCCTGGGCCTGGCCTACCGCCGGCAGCCGGCGTCCGACGGCCTGGACCTGAGTCAGGCGGCGGCGCGTACCAACGAGTATAAGATCATCCGTACCAATGAGAAGGAGCAGCTTCAGGGTCTCAATGACCGCTTCGCCGTATTCATCGAGAAGGTGCACCAGCTAGAAACACAGAACCGAGCGCTTGAGACTGAGTTGGCCGCGCTGCGGCAGCGCCACGCCGAACCTTCGCGCATCGGTGAGCTATTCCAGCGCGAGCTGCGCGACCTGCGCGCGCAGCTGGAGGAAGCGAGCTCGGCGCGCGCACAGGCCCTGCTGGAGCGCGACGGGCTAGTGGAGGAAGTGCAGCGGCTGCGGGCGCGTTGCGAGGAGGAGAGCCGCGGGCGCGAAGGCGCCGAGCGCGCCCTGAAGGCTCAGCAGCGCGACGTGGACGGTGCCACGCTGGCCCGCCTGGACCTGGAGAAGAAGGTGGAGTCGCTGCTGGACGAATTGGCCTTCGTGCGCCAGGTGCATGACGAAGAGGTGGCCGAGCTACTGGCCACGCTGCAGGCGTCGTCTCAGGCCGTGGCCGAGGTGGATGTGGCTGTGGCGAAGCCAGACCTAAGTTCAGCACTGAGGGAGATTCGTGCTCAATATGAGTCCCTGGCCGCCAAGAACCTACAATCGGCGGAGGAATGGTACAAGTCCAAGTTCGCCAACCTGAATGAGCAGGCAGCGCGCAGCACGGAGGCCATCCGGGCTAGCCGCGAGGAGATCCACGAGTACCGTCGCCAGCTGCAGGCTCGCACCATCGAGATTGAGGGGCTGCGCGGGGCCAACGAGTCTTTGGAGAGGCAGATCCTGGAGCTGGAGGAGCGGCACAGCGCTGAGGTGGTCGGCTACCAGGTAAAGGCTGCAGTGCTACCAAAATGGAAGGCTGTCCCTTCCCGCGCGTATTCGCGCTCCCGTGCAAATTCTAGGAACCAAGGAGAGGGGAGAGAAAGACGAAGAGAAGGGAGAAAAGCTCCAACGCGAAGCATTGGCAAACAAAAAGTCCCGTTAATTTGGGGGCCTGGAAACTCTCTTCCCCTGTCCTTCACGTTCCTGTCTGACCGCTTGTAACAAAGAAGCTTTAAATCCCTGTTTTCCAGAATCATACAATATGATTGCATGAAAATTAACTCATGCCTCCCTGGCAGCAAGTAAGAGCACACACTAGCGACCTGGGAAACAGTCCCCCACCCAAAGTTGAAGACAGCCCAACCCTGACGAATTACAGCCTCTCCTTAGTAAGCAGTAGGGCCTGGGTTGTCTAGTTTCTTTGGCTGACTTTGAAAAGCTTTCTATGGGTCCTGGAATTGATATTCAGGGAGCATGTCCGCTACAGGATGGGGAGAAGACTGCTGTACCATTTTCTAGACTTTTCCCGCCCCAAAATAGAGATTGGGAGCCGAGGACCAAGTAGATGGGCTAGTAACACCCTCCCTATTCGTAAGCCCCCACAACACACACCTAAGATTCCCTTGCCGACATTTTTTCATAATGAAGTTTTTTATTTCTGTAGCAGAAAGTCGTCCGGGCGCTGTCCATGGTTCTGATCCTGAAATGACCTACCTTCTGGTCTTTGCATCTCAAATGCACTTTCACTCTTTTTCTTTTTCCCTCCCTCCCCCTTTTCCTCTCCTTCTTCCTTTCTCTTGTCCCAGTTATGGCTCTCCAGACAATTAACTGCTTTGGGTTTTTTGTTTTTTTTTCTCTCTCCTGCTGCAATAGCAACACATCAATCTTGGCTACCTGCAATAAGAGGTCATCTTGTGGACAGCATTAATTTTCATTTTCATGGATGGCTTAGCACTTAACAAAAAACACTTAATCTGCTCAGCAACTGTGAGGTCTCACCTGAAAATGTGCATTTTCTACATTTTTCCATCCTAAGTGCATGTGATTAATCACAGAGATGGGGGTCTCTCTTTGTTACAGGCCATTTATTTTTCTCATCTTTGTGAAGGTATTGATTTTTTTTCCCACTTCCAACAAAGACCAATGCATCTTCAGTTGGATTGCAGAATTTTCCAGATTTATGATCACAAGAAAGGGTACTGAGGCAGGAGACAAGATGAATGAAAAGTGTAGAAAAGAATCTAGAGTGGTTCTGCTTCAAGGAACAATGAATAAAAGCTCCATTGGATAGAATGCAATAATTCAACCTGGTTTTTGTTTTGTTTTGTTTTCAGCCAGGATCAAAGTTTACATTTGATTAAATTAATAGGGTTGAGGAACCTTTAATCAAGAGCTAAGGAGTTATTGGTGGGAAGATACTTACTGTTCATTACGAATGACTCCTTTTGTTAAAGGAAGAAAACCTGCTTTGGACTCTTTGTTTTGGCTAATTTAGAATTACAGTACTGTTTCAAATAAATACTTTTATTTTACATCAAAACCTTTCACCCAACCTTTCCACTTATGTTGGATGGCCTGAATGAATCACATTTGGTTAATTGAAGCTTCATTTTTAATTTTGGAAGCCTCAAAGGATGGGCTAGATGGTCTTCTGGAGGGCTTACCCAATATTTCTACAAAAGGAATAACTGGCCTGCATCTACCGTCTGAACTGGACTTTGCCATGTCCTTTGTTTGCTTCTTATAGCCCTTTTTATTTTAAGAGGTAGTGACTGTGTTGTCTGACTTTTTTGCTTTCACAGTTTTCCTAGGATCAGACAATAGTATGGCCATCCAGAGATGGTCTGCAGGAAATAAATAAGAAACTGCAGCACCTGCAGCTCTGCAGTGCTGTCTCCATCGGCTTTAGCTTTCAGAGGCTTGGTGGACCTACTGGTGGGTGTGGAAGAGGTGGTCAGACAACCAAGAACTATTTCCCATCCCTTGGGACCTAGTCTTAGATGGTGTTCATCACCTTACCTATGATCCTGAAGGCCTAAAGCTACAAGGGTGTCCTCTGTCTAACAAGTTTAGCAGTGCTGACCAAAGCTAAGAGTCAGCCATTGTTTTCTTGCCTTCTCACCCCACCCCTCCCCTTTCACTGCAGTATGGTAACTGGTTCTCTTTCTTCTGCTTCAGAGATTACTAGGAGGTTCATTTTTCTTTGCAAGATTGCCACTTTCTAAGATGCAGAGAAAGGCCCTATTAAGTCATGTTTTGCCTGCCCCGGAGAACAGATAGCCTGTTGGAAAAGAAGAAGCTTATTATACTTTTTTGAAAAAGTAAAGAATGATTCAAGGAGACATAGTAAATAGACAGTGATGTATGAGAGTCAGAGTTGGGCAAGAGGAGAAATTATAAAGAGCTTATTGTCTTCAAAAGTCAAACGCCACCATCCCCTTTAGTTGAAGGCTTTTCTGACATAGAATGGTTTGGGTTCCTGCCTGGCCATTTTGCTACCATTAGAGCCCCAGCTCTGCAAAAATATCTAAAGATATTTTGGAGGGCACTGGGTGGGGTACCCTGTACTGTGGTTTGTCTTGGAAAGCTGAAGCTTTCCTTGAAAGACCTTGCTGAGCAATCAAGATCACTGTTGGTTAATGCTCTCCAGGGAGATGTGCCAAGTCTGGCCTCTTCTCTCCAATATGAGATTAGCCTACAACCTAATTAAATTGCAGGAGGGGGTCTTGCTCCTTGGGGACTGGGGGTGGCAGTCACTGAATATAAATCTATTGCTTGATTGATCCATATCTGAAATTAAAATTCACGACAAAAGCTATCTTTAGTCTTTCTTTCCCCGGAAGGCCCTGGTAGCAAAGTGGGTTACCTACTGTTGGATTGCTAACCACAAGATTAGCAATTTAAGTTCAAGGAAGAAAGATGAGGCTTTCCACTCCCATAAAGATTTACAGCCTCCAAAACCCTGTACAGGGTCGCTATGAGTTGGAACCAACTCAGTGGCACACAGCCAAGCTAAGCCAAGCCACTACTCTTGCTGGACTCCCACAATAGCACCTTTACAGAAATAAATTAAGCTAGTAGGTCCTAACTCAGTGGCACATCCACATCACTCACTTGGGGCTTAAAAAAAAAAAAAAAGATTCTCAGCCTATTCCATGTCCAAAGATAAGAACTCAGTTGTTCACAGGTGAAACCTAAGAATATTGCATTTTGCTATAACCATTCAGTCTTCAGACTGATTTGAGAGATACACTGACCTAAATCATATTTTTTACTGCAAAGCAGCTATCAGGGATTCATATAATGCAAAATTTTAAAGTGTGTGTGTTGGAGGCAGAGAGGAGAGAAAACAGAGACTGGGACACACAGATAGAAGTGTGCTATAAGGCATGCACAGGAACACAGGTGGTGTGCATAGAGATATCCTTGCTCCCCACCTAAGTTCATTGTTCCGGACAGTAATTCTGAATGACCTTTCAGTCAGACTGACTGCACTACTGCTTACCGAGCTGAGGGCCCCCTAAGTGAAGAAATCCACACACTGTTTGTCCTACACGTCTCTGCTGCACACACTGGTGTGGCGGGTTATTTCTCTTCCTTCCAGGCTGCTTTCTTCCAGCTCTGAGGAATATGCTCAGCACAGATCCTAGCTGGTCCCGGAGAGACCCCAGCTGGAGCTGGGAGTGCCTCTTACCCATTCCCTCAGGCGAAGCCAGCAGCAGCTGTGTGGTTGGGGGAGGGGCAGACTGCGGCGCTCTGCTCAGATTTCCAGCTGGAGGCCATCTTTGGCAGGGCTTTTGAAGGGCAATGCACGACAGCCTGGCTTGGGGAGGAGAGAACAAAGAGAGGAGACTTTGAAGTGCAATGGTCAGTACGCAGCAGAATTCCTTCTGAAAGGGGTCGTGCTTTTTGTCTGCTCTTGTCTATATAATAGACATGGTTAGTGTATAATATAAAAGTTAGAGGAAATTTCATCCATCTTGCTGTTGGATAAGCAATGGACTGCTAACCACAAAGTCAGCAGTTCAAAACCACCAGCCACTCCTCGGAAACCCTAAATGAACGGGATCACTGTGAGTCAGAACTGACTCAATGACATTTAGCAACAACAGAGCTCAGCTACCCAAGAACCTTGTACTCAGGAAACAGTGCACTGAAGCAAGAATATATATATATATATATATTTCAAAAGACTGTCATACACCACCGATTAACCTGCTAATCAGATAGGACATACATCTCTAAAGCACATATTTGAAAGTCAGACCCTATGATACTCTCAGCATATTCATTCTTATGTTGTTAGGTTCTAAAATACTTTGTAATTTAATTTTTAAAACTGCAGCAAGACAGAGGGGAAGAGGGACCACTAGAGCCAGACATTGTCAGGAAGGAGTAATGTCAGACCAGTTCAACCTTCAAGACAAGGAGAACCACTATCCAGCAAGCTCAACCTCAAACGAGTGCTCTTTGTGGGCAGTTAGGGTAGAGGTAAACAGCTCAGTATACCTCAGTTGACATAAAAGACCTCATTGAATTATAGAAAAATCATCTATCATCACCTTTCACTGCTAAGAAAGGTCTCATTACGTTTAATGTTCAAAGAGTGGTGCACACCATTTTAATTTAAAAAAATCTAGTACCTCCAAGTATCCAATATCAAAGGAGCTTTGGTGGTGCAGTGGGTAGGCACTCAGCTGTACCCTGAAAGGTCTGTTCAAACCCACTAGCTGCTTCAAGAGAGAGAGAGATGTGGCAGTTTACTCCCATAAAGGAGTTCTGGGGTGGCGCTGTGGGTTAAAGCAATGGACCTCGAGGTCGGTTTCATCCCACCAGCCACTCCTTGGAAACCCTATACAGGGTTGCTATGATGGCACTTAACAACAAGTCCCATAAAGATTGTTGTCCATGGCGTTGGAAACCCTATAGGGCAGTTCTGCTCCATCCTATAAAGTCACAATGAATTGATGGCACCGAAATTCAATATTAAATTTTTCCATGTTTCCAAAACAATATCCAATGTTTTGTTATACATAACTCTTTTTATTTCTCTAAATGTATATACAGAGGACTTCCGATTATCTGTCTATATCATTCAAAGGGTAGAAAGTCACATGATATGATATTAGCAATCACTAACATTGGGAGTCCTGGCATGGCACTGTAGGATAAGCACTGGATTGAAAGGTCCGTTTGAAGCAAAAGGTCAGTAGTTCAAACCCGCTAGACTAACTCTTTGGAAACCCTACACAGAGTTGCTATGAGTCAGAATTGACTCACCTGCACTTAAAGCAATAACATTTACTGAGTACTTTCTATATGCCTTGAGTCCTGGCACTGTAGGATGAGCACTGGACTGCTAACCATTAGGTCAGTAGTTCAGACTCACCTACCACTCCTCGAAAACCCTATACAGGTCGCTATGAGTCAAAATTAATGGCAGTTAACAACAACAATTCTATATGCCCAGTATTGTTCTAATCTCTATTATCTATTAACAGATAATGGACTCATTATATAAGAATGTGATGTTCCTTAAACTGGAATTCAAATTTGAGGGTCTCAGAATATCTTAGAAAAGAGTAAACATTATCATTTTCCACATGCAGAAATACTAGTTTTGAAGAAGCTAAAATTTAGGGAACTGACTAATATATGGTGGATGATTGTGGCAGGGCAAGAAGTAGGAAGCCCAAGATCCTTCTCTTCTCTCATATACCATTTTCCTTGCTGTTTTGCATAATACTATTTCCCCTCCTCCTTTTCCCTCACTCTAGACACCTTTCCCAGCTAACTCAGCAGTAACCAACCTACCCACTGCCATCCTGTCCATTTCAACTCATAGCAACACTACATAGCGTTTCTGAGGCTGTAAATCTTTACAAGAGCAGACAGCTTCATCTTTCTCCCATGGGGTAGCTGGTGGGTTTGAACTGCCGATCTTGTAGTTCACAGTCCAGTGCTTATCCTACATCAATAGTAGTGTTCTCTTATCGCAAATCCAAACATAGATTTGTTTGTAGGTTAGTTTAACCTCATCCATCAAGTAAAATTTCTTGGTGTAAATGCTTTTTAGCCCTTTTAATCCCTTAATACACTTTGGAATATTTCCATCATGTACGTTATTTTCACCACCTCCTATCATCCCTTGCTGTCTACCCATCAGTCAATTGAATCTCTCCTTTGCAGTATTCCTGTCAATATTTATAGAACAGGTAGGTGGCATGAATTTTAATTCTTTCTGCAGGTACTCGTGATTTGGAAATTTGCACGCCCTGCTATCTCAACCCTACCTTTCACCATTGCTGAATCTAGGTGCACACAAGAGCAGTTATAGGATTTACTGAACACTTATTGCTTTGGGTTTCTAATATGTTTACCAGTATCACTACTTCATAAAAACACTTCTCAGTCTCCATCTCTGCAAATATACAGCCAAGTTATATGACTTATTTGCTCTTACCTTTCCAGGTCTTAGGAAAAGAGGAAGTGCTTAGGTAGCATCATTCATTTACTCAGCAAGTCTTCAGTGATGAACTATACCCAAGGGTGTCTGCTGCCAGGTTAATTTCATTCTACAGTAGTGGTTCTCAATCAGGAGCAGTTTTGCTCCCTAGGGAACATTTATCAATATCTGGAGACATTTGTGGATATAAGTGGAAAGAGAGTGGGGAGGGCTGTTGGTATATACTTGTTGTTGTTGTTAAGTACCGTGGAGTCGGTTCCGACTCATAGTGACCCTGCACAGGGTTCCTGAAGCTGTAAATCTCTATGGGAGCAGACAGCCTCATCTTTCTCCCATGGAACAGCTGGTAGTTTTGAACTGCTGACCTTGAGGTTGGCAGCCAGACTCATAATCACTGCACTACCAGAGCTCCTTACTAGGTGCTACTAAACATCCTACAGTACACTGGGCAACCCTTTCCCCGCTCCCTCCCACCCCCACCACCCCCACCTCCACACATATACAAGCAAAACAAGACTGGGGCTGAAATTTAGAAACTCTGTTACAGCAGAAAATAAACTAGAAATAAATAATACATTTCAGACAGTGATAAAAGCTAAGAGCAGAGTGGCCATGGTCAAGTGGGTGCTTTCTTCTAATTTGTCCTCCCTCTGGGGGTGCCTTTTTCTAATTGGCATAAAGTCCCTGTATGGACTAGCAGCTGGAGGCAAAGTAATCTGTGGAATAGGTGGTGGTGGCAGCTATCTTAGGTTGGATGTCAAGGAAGACCTACCTGAGAGGACATTTAAACTTGAGTTTTGTGTGACAAGGAGCCAGCCATGTAAAGACCCACTACCAAACAGTCCAGGCAGAGAAAACAGCAAGCCCAAAGGTATGTCTAAGGAGCAAACAAAGTGGCAGTGATTGAGGCACATTAAGCAAGGGAAAGAGGAAATTGAGCAAAGGAAAGGTCATGTTGAGGAGTTGGATTTTAAGCAGATATGACAGGATCTGCTTTGTTTTTAAAAGATCCTTCTGGCTGCTCAAGAATCACAAACATAAAACTATTTTATCTCATGGCAGGTTTTGCACCTGAAAGAGTTTGGAGCAAAAATCCTGTAAACCTAGTTCGTTTTTTCAAATTAATTTCAGTCTGCCATTTAGATAAGAAACAAAACAAAACAAAACTGTGGTTTATTTCTGCTTCCTCATTATTCGTGCACAATGCTTTCAGTAAAGTCATTGAGTATCAGACTTCCAGGAAAGACTGCAAAGCATCAGAAAGAATGCAGGCATGGATGGAGGCAGAGAAGGCTTGCTGTCCTCTCAGTCCTTACCATGCCTGCAATTTCCTGACTCCAGGACATATAATTGCTGAGTTGTTTAGTTGTAATACCGCAAGCAGGGAAGGATTAAAATGTATAAAAACTCCCGTTGGAAATGTGCCCTGTGCTTCCCAAACGTCACCATCCATCAGAATCTCCCAGGAACATTTGTGGAAAAATGCAGATGCTGATACCACACTCTAGACCAAATGAATCAAAATCTGGGGCGGGGAACAGGCCTAGTGTCAGTAATTTATAAGTTCCTTAAGTTTTAATGTGTAGTTAAGATTGAAAACTCTTGCCTTGTGGAAATCTTGATGAACCTCAGTTGGTTTGGCCTAAATATTTTGGATATGTCACTTTCCAGGATAGCATTGGGCAGCTGGAGAATGATCTGAGGAACACCAAGAGTGAGATGGCTCGCCACCTTCGGGAGTACCAGGACTTGCTGAATGTCAAAATGGCTCTTGACATTGAAATAGCAGCTTACAGGTAATTCAAAGGGCACTGCTTATTCTGCAGCACCACATCAGGACTTCATAATAGATACGACTAGTATTTCTCCACCTCAAGGTCAGTTTGAACAGCAAGGGTGGCATTTCAAACTCACCAGCCACTCCCTGGAAACCCTATACAGGGTCACTATGAGTTAGAACCAACTTGGCACTTTAACTTTGGCAACAACAGGAGTCCTGATGTGGTGCTATAAGATAAGCACTGGACTGCTAACCACAAGGCTGGTGATTCAAACCCACCAGCCACTCCTTGGAAACCCTACACAGGATCGCTATGAGTTAGAACCAACTTGACAGCACTTAACAACATCTAGGTGCTAGGTGATATATTAAGTATGTTACAGACGTTTTCTAGATATCAAATCATTTTGTTCCTATTTTGCAGATGAGAAAACTGAAAACTCCAGATTGTGTAACTTGCCCAGCCCTGGTAAAAGGCAGAGCTCACATTCAGCTCTAGATCTATCTGAACCTTTCTTTCTTTACACTTTGTATATTATTTAAAAACAAAATTCCAGGAGTATTTGATGAAGTCTTGAGTTTCTGGTTTAAAAAAATTTTTTGATGAAAATTATTGGAGTTATGAGAAACATAGTATTGTTTCTTCTTTATACTAGTGGTTAGGCCAAGCTGGAAAAAAGTATATTGTCTGTAACAATTTCATTTACTGGTTATTTGTTATTGCTGGTTCCCTTTCTTTTGTTCTACTAGACTTTGAAAAGATACCAATCTCAAGTTCAAGAAGAATAATTCAGTTCCTCATTCCTTGTGGACTTCTCACCTCCTTATTCTCTATTGCGGTTAAGGTGTTAATTAGAAAAATTACTTCTCCTTAGTGCTTCATAGACTAAATGCCAAATATGGGTGTGATGTGGCCAGGGAAGTTGTAGGTGTGTTCCTTTGACAGTGCTTTAAATACAGGTGATGCCAAGGATGCTGTGTGCACATGTGTGCGTGCGTGCATATGTATTTGTCTACATGGCAACTCTTTGACCTTGAAATTCAATATTTATTAGTCTCAGCTTCTCTAAAATGAATAAGGACTCAAAGGTTCTGTGCTTTCAAAAAGAAAAAGTTGCAGGTTGAGTTCCTGAGAATTTTTCTCTGTTGGATTTACAGGAAACTGCTGGAAGGTGAAGAGACCCGTTTTAGCACCAGTGGATTAGGCATTTCAGGGCTGAATCCACCTCACAATCCAGGTTATCTGCTTGCACCTAGAATCCTCAGTTCTACAACCTCCAAAGTCTCATCCACTGGGCTGTCACTTAAGAAAGAGGAGGAGGAAGAGGAGGCTTCTAAGGTAGCCTCTAAGAAAACCTCCCAGATTGGGGAAAGTTTTGAAGAAATTTTGGAGGAGACGGTAATATCTAAGAAAACCGAGAAATCAAATATAGAAGAAAGCACCATCTCAAGCCAAAAAATGTAATTCAGTTGCTTAAAAAGTTAGTGCTTAAGAGGGAATAATATGCATTTGACTTGTTAAACAACCTGTTCTTGAACCAAAACACCTGTCACCACTATCAATGTCTCCAATGCTTCAGTCTTATACTTAGTATTGAATACTTTCTCGCATACGAAAATCCCTCTTTAGGTTGGAGCAAATTGCAGTCCGAGAACAATTACAGAAGAGTTATCTAAGAATACAGCCTTCTCACCTACAGCTCAGGCTTTGCAGAGATAGATGATTCAGGTGCAGAGGAAGTACAAACTAAGGTGCTAAATCTGTGATCATCGTCATTTGCTGTGAATAGAAATTAAAACCTACATTCACTCACTATACCCAGCCGTTAACCCAGCAATATAACCTCACTTTAGATACCCAAAACATAAGATCACTGCCAAAGATAAACCTCTGGTTCATACCCAACTCCACTCTGATAGATCAGTTTCACAAATGATAGATGTTTGCTTAATGCACATTTTCCCTTCCACTTCCACCTCCACCTCAATTCCTTATGTCTTTTTCTTCCATCCTGGGAGGGAAAAAAAACATGTAGTATTCTTCCCTTTTAAACACATTTAAGTTCCCCTCAAAAGCGCTTACCCCCTTGAGATTTCCTTGCTCAATGGATAAAATTAGATGCATGTTGGCTATTTCTCTGATTCGTGTATTGACTTACCTGACCATTTCATAGCCTTCCTATTCTGTAGGTGGAAAAAACGGCAGTGATGAATTTTAAGATTTACCCCCCAAACAAAATACTGAAAAGAGTACCTAGATTTTAGGTTTTGAGCTTATTAAAATCCATCTAATTAGAAGAAAATTTGACTCTTAAGAATGTAGTTTTCACCTTAACTTTAGATGCACAGTGCTAGTTATCCCAAGCTGTGATTCAGCTGATCTTAGATGTAGCTGTTAGAAGAGCTGAACTTTCTATGAATGGAAAAAGCCACGGTCTCATTGATCCTTCCATGTCAGTTCATTTGTGGTGATATAAAATTAGCTTTTTCATGTTCTCACCGTTAGAATCCACATTTCTTCCCACTAGTCTAGTCCCTAAAGAGGCCTCGTTTCCTCTCTCCTCTGCTTTTTAAGTATGCAAAGCATAAGACATTATATCCCCAGGACACAATGCTACTGCCTCAAAGTAAAAATAAAGAAAACCACTACTGGTCAATCAGTACCACCAGCTGATATTTAAAAAAAAAAAAAAAGAACTATTTCTCTACTCTAAAAAAGAGTTTTTCTCCAGCAGTTTCCAAATGGCCGCACAATTGTCAGGGTCTCCTTTCCCTGCTAGAGAGGGAGGGGCACTCAGACAGAAGAGGGTGCCCCTCTTCACTTGCTAGAAAGTGGCTTCTGACAGTCACCTCATTGCCCAGTTGTGTGGTAACTGCATTGCCCAGTCTTCCATGTGTGCCAAGTTCAATGCAACATTTAACCTTGTCAGCCGTCACTTCCACCAGAGTTAGAATTTCCCGTGTCTCACACATCTCCACTGAGAGCTCCGGGGTGAAACGCGCGGGGATGCTTTTACTGTACTTCTTTATTCTAGCACATGCTCAATAATTCAAGGAACTTGAAAGATACTTTACTTCTTCCTCCTTATCCCATCTCTGTCTTTACTCCTCATTGATACTGTAAGATATTAGTAAAATCAGAATTAAAAGTCACACGAATCCCACCAACATAATGTGTGTCCTGTGATTTCTGCTGTTGCACTGTTTAGGGTCAGAGAGACAGCTATATCCCAAGAATTCAGAAATCAATGTTCTCTGGGCTACGCCTCTACGTTAGGCTTTTTTTCTTTAGCCAAAGTCTTGGAGCTGTAGTCTGCACTTGTTTCAGATAGTTGGGTCAGCAACACATGTGCAAGAAGTGGCCAGCAGGGAAGAAGGAATCAAATCACATAATGAAAAAATGCACTATGTGCCTGAACAATTATTATTATTATTATTTTTAATGAGAAAACAATTCTATAGTTGTTTTGAATGCCCACAATTACTATAAAATTGAAGCAAGATAATAACATTTAAGTAGTTAACATTCATGAGAAAGCCAGATACAGAGTACAATTTTCAAACAAAGCATTGTTGCTTTTTTCCCTCCTCCAAAAAATAGATCTCTCTCTATGTATAGATACATATGTATAATTTGAGTGAAGAGCAACATAAAATCAAAACTGGCAGTTCACGGAATGCTTAAAATCCAAGAAATTGATTCTAAAACTAAAACAATAGATTCACTCTCTCTAATACTTTATGTGACTTTGTTTCCCAATATATAGTTGAATTAAATCCTGGACATTGATTTCTTGAAAATGAACTGACAGAAGGCACATAATAAGAATCCTTCAAAATAAGGGTATTTTCTTTCTTTGGGCTATACCTCATCAGACCCCAGACATTTGGGTAGAACATGGGCAGCAATCATGGAATTTGCCCCTAATGAAGTGATTCTTAACCTATTTGGATTACAGATTCCTTGGAGACCTTTTACACCCTTTCCCCAGGAAATGTTCACAGACACAACTTTGGACAGATTCAAGGATTTCTAGGACTATCTACTCATGCCAAATTGACATTTCCTAATGCCATGTCGGAGTCCTGTGGTGCTAAATCTATGATCTGTCGATTATTGAGCTGGACTGCAAAATTGGTTTGAACTTGCAATGTTAGTGGTTCAAGCTCACCACCTGCTCCTCAGAAACCCTATACAGAGATGCACTCAACAACAACAACAATAAAGCCATGCTAGGTTCTAGAATGGAGACTGCAATTGGAATGTATATATTCAACTCACAGCTGATGCTAGCAGTTGAATCCTGTACAATATTATTATCTCAACTAGCTAAGAGTACTTGTATGACACTGAAAGATGCATTGATGGTACTGCTGGTGAAGAGTTATCTGTCAGTCTTTCACTAACAATAGGAATCTGGGTACTTTTAGGATCTCTTAAGAAACAATAACCTGATCAATACATGGGTTTGTATTATAGACATTCCTGACTGTTTCTAAGAAGTCTATTTGGTTTATGGGTCCTGTAAACAAAGCCAAAGTCCTTTATTCATTATATAATCTCTGGCTGTAATATCACCTTCTATTTTCAGTGAGTCACCACTAATTACCCTGAAATCATTTATAAAAGAAAGATATCACAAGCATTTTACAGAGTTGATAAATCATTAAAATCAGAACAGTAGGTAACATGGAAGATGTTCAGAGTAGAGGAGGGAAGCAAGCAACATTAAAGGGTGTGAAAGAACTGGACAACAAAGTGAGCCTCTGAAATTGTGGGAAAAGCTACCTGCACAACATATTAATGATAATGCAATTTGACTTTCAAATCCCTTAGACAATAAAATCCTCTGTATCCTGAAACATTTTTACATTTAACCAATCACATACTTCGCCTCATTTCACTGACTGCAGTTCCCTCCATGTACCATCAGTTAGCCCACTTATTCCCTGTGATTCTTGTTTTCATTCCACCTTTTTTTCCCCAAATCCTTCGAATTTTGTTCTTAGATAAATGCTGCCCTTTTGATCTTGAATGGTTGACCATTCCATAGTGTGCCTACCTCACAGTGTTGTCCCCTTATAGACCTATCTACTGCTTGATTGAAAGTTGAGCCAGGAGGGTGAATTCAGTTCCAGATCTGAAGGGTGACCAAGGGCCGTAGCCTCAGCTTCCTCCAGTCGCTTTCTGACTAGAAAATCTGGTTGGTCTTTATATAATTTTGAGTTTTGTTCCTTGTTTTCTCTCACTCTGCCCAAGACCTTCTAGTGTGATTCCTTTCAGAACAGTTGGTAGTGAGTGGTAGCCAGGCACCATCTAGTCACCTAGTTCTGGTCTCAGAGTTGTGAAGACTGAGGTTCACAAGTTCCATTATTAGTTCATTTGTCTAATTGGTTCCAAATTTCTTCAATTTTCATCACTCTTCTTTCCAACTATTGGGAAAGACTAATAGTTGCACCTTAGATGGCCGCTAATGAATTTTTAAGATCCCAGCTGCAATTCACGGAAGCAGGATGTAGAACATTGTCTTTGGGGGCTATGTTATACCATTTCACCATGGTGACTATAGTCCTGCGCCCTCAGACCCAGCAACTCATTCCCACAAGGTGTGTGATAGTGTCTAAGGAGTTTTCAGACATTTAAAACCACTATTTAGGGGGTGAGGAGCTCTGGTAGCGTAGTGGTTATGAATCGGGCTGCGAACCGCAAGGTCAGCAGTTCGAAACTACCAGCTGCTCCATGGGAGAAAGATGAGGCGTTCTTCTCCTGTAAAGATTAACAGCCTCAGAAACCCTGTGCAAGTTCGCTATGAGTCGGAATCGACTCCACAGCACATAACAACAACAACAATTTAGGGGGTGAGGGTGTTTATGTGCTGTGGAGTTGGTTCTGACTCATAGCGACCCTGTATAGGGCTTTTGAGGCTGTAAATGTTTACTAGAGCAGAAAGACTCATCTTTCTCCCATGAACGCTGGTAGTTTTGAACTGCTGACCTTGAGATTAACAGCCCAACTCATAACCACTATGCTACCAGAGCTCCTTAGAGGTAGATTTGTATACTTATTTCACAAATGAGAATGTGGAACCTCAGAATGACAAGGCTAAACCCTTATCTCTTGTCATGCAGTAAATGACAGAGCTGGAATTTGAACCCTGGTCTTCTAACACTATAAACCAAAACCAAACCTACTGCCATCAAGTTGATTACAACTCACAGTGACCCTATATAGGGTTTCTGAGACTAAATCTTTACAGGAGCAGAAAGCCTCATCTTTCTCCAGTGAAGCTGCTGGTGGATTTGAACTGCTGACCTTGCATTTGGCAATCCAGTTCTCCTTATCTGACTTTACTTGCTTTTCTCCCCTATGTTGCCTCTCTACATAAAAGCACTCAATTGCAGGAGTAGGAATCTTCCTTTTGGTATTATTTTTTTTTTTTACCCCTTTCTCACTAGGTTTCACTCAAGGTTTTTGTGCCCCAGAGACTCTTGGCAACACACACAGGCAAGCTGCTTCGCTCTGCAGACTTCTTGCACCTTCTGCCTTTCTGCATTGCAGTGAGGCGGAGGCAGCTCAAAACTGGGCTCTGGGCCCATCCAACCATGAGTCACCACTGTTCCTGCTAGAAATTCAGCAGAATTTGGGTGTTATTTTACTGTTACAAGACTGGAGGAATGGGGAGGAGTATCTCATAATTTTGCAGAAGAATTCTGTAGCTCAACATCAAGATACAGCAAATAAGGGAATCTTACAGAATGGAGGACAATTTATCAAGAAACCAGCAGCACCATAAATACAACAAACCACAACCACAAAAAATAGCAAAAACCTAGAA